GCTGCTGTCAGCTATACTTCAATGTACAGATGTCTATTTATGGAAGGACATTTGAGGGCTTATACAAAATAATTTAAAAGTGCTGGATGCATGCATTTAGTTCAGCACCATTACATTTTCCTGGCAGTACAAATAAAAATTAATATAATACAAACTCAATTTATATCTTAACAAATGTAATCTTTGGTAAAAATCCCATTTCTCTTCTAAGCTAAATAATAAGAAACAATCATAGTCAGAATGAAAAAAGTATTTCAAAATAATCATATGTCACTGATATTTTAAAATGCACTATCTCTGCACATCTGATTTGCTGGAAGAACAGCTGAATAAATCAGACTTGATACTACTTTAATTTGCAAAAATCTCTCATTTCAAATAATAATAATTAAAAAAATCATATCATTGAGCATAATTTAAAATGGAACAATCTAGTGTTCCAGTCCAACTTCTGTGATAATTAAAACAAAAAAAAAGCTCAATCTTCAAAATGCTGCTGTAAAGGAACAAGGAATAATCTTCCATGTCCCTGGCTAACCACAGTATAGCTTAAAAGTCTTCTCCCTCCCAATCCTGTGACTCTCTAATTCTCAGTAAGGATTTACCTCTAAAAGGGCTGTATTGCCTATATAATTAGCATTGCATGCTTTTCAAAACAAAATAGCCCAAATGTACCTATTCTAAATGGAGGGTCTTTACATTTTGATACATATGCTTATAACAAAGAAATCCATGAACATGTTTCTTTATTGTGATCATCATATCTTAAAACACATCTATGTGTTATCCCCATTTTTTAAAGGAAAAGTTGGATTATATAAAGTTTGAGATACCTAATCCTAAGTAGAAAGGACATCAAAGAGCAGATGAGAACCTGGATCTTTTACTTTCAGACCCAAACACAAACTATCTTTTTATTCCTGGGTAAACTATCATATTCCTGGCAAATATGAGCTGATTAAATGTCTGGACTTTTTTCGGTTCTGGAACAGGCAGAAACTCAGAATTAACCAGTTTTAACATCGAATTACACTACTGAAGAAAAATAAAACCAAATAGAAGTTTCTAATGCTTCCTCATGCTGTTCTGTTAAAATGAAAACTTTTTCCTCCCTCAAAGGAGCTACATAAATATTGCTCTGGTAAAAGATTTTTTCCTAAGACATTCCTGAGATCCATGTTAAATGCATATACTTACCCAAAATACAGCTTCAGTAACTTTGCGCTGTAAAAGTTCCATGCTTTGTTACACAATTCCTTAGTCATCTAAACAAATAATTTCTTACATTAGTACAAAAAACAGTGCTGTATTATGAATATTTTTAAACTAGACAAAACGATGAAATATTTTATCTTCCACATTGATTGGTGCAAATTAAAGTATATATTTTAAAAATTACTTTGTTTATTAATTGTCAGCATTGATACCACTTTCCAAGTTTTATTGATTCAAGTGTAATTTTAGGGCTCAGTAAAAGTAAATAATGCAAAGAAAACACGTTATTGAAACTAGATTCATATTTAGGTAGAACTCTTCTATTAATTATGACCAATAATGAAACAGGAACCACTTGTTCCCCACCATATGCCTAGATGCTATGCTCACCTCTGACAATTTTTTAATGCAATCCAGTATCAATAGCAGGAAATGCAAACTACCATATTCCTCCTATTAGCTAGAGAAGAGTAGCACAAGAAAACTATAAGCAGAATACGAGTATTCTGTATTATAAGACTTGTTCAGAACATAGAATTAATAAAAATGTTAAAGGGTTTTTACCAGTTGTCCACCATCTAGTCCAAAAAATGCATTCAGGTAAGTTTCTGAGATAATCTTTAATTCTGGGTATAAAGACAGATCGATACACGTATACCTTTAACAGAGAAGCAAATAATATTAACCATGTTAGTATCCCCAAAAGAAAATACATTTCTTTAGCCTGTACCTACTAGGTTACAGCTACATGTTATGCTATTATTATGTTATTATTAAAAGATTAAGACCTATATCACTGACATAGCAAATACCTATAGTAGCCATTTTAAAATGTGTTTACAAAACAGGAAAACAAATTACCAAGTTTCATTGCAACTCGTAGAGCTATGTTGAAATACTCTGTACATCAGTGCTTAACCCATTCCATGTAATACCCATCATCTTGGGTATTTCCTATCAGATTATATGACTTTGTTTTTCATCTTAATATCAACTAAACAGCAATTTCAAATTGGAGCAATGTTTCCTGCCGTTGTAGATAGGCCATGCCATATCTAGGTAGGTTTTGTTTTAATATAAAAAAAAAAGAAGACACACTCCAAGAGCCAAATAAAATAAGACTATGTTGCCTTATGCTTCCAGTAAAAAAATGGAAATTAAAAGTATTTACCAGAGGACCAATTTATTTATTTTTTTTTAAATCAAGTCAATATACAACTTCTAGGAAAGATATCACAAATAATGTAAAATATACAGTAAAACATCATAATTATGGTTCAGGCTGTTGGTGCACTCTGTGATATGAGGAATTGTGTTACCCTATGGAGACACCCAAGGAAAGGCCACACTAAGGGCACTAATCTGCATCACGCTCTGTAATGATTGTTCCTGTCACCACATTGTACCTGTCAGTCCATGAGTGCAGGGTGGTTAGAGGTCTAGACAACTCCTGAGATCTCTGTTTGAGTGGGCCCAAAGATTAAGGATTTATTAACCACCTCCTACGAAAAACTTCAGCCAGAAGTGACAATTGCACAGAATATAAAAGTGAGGTTGATTCAGTCCTTAAAAGCCACATCCCTGGTTCATGTAGCTAAATATAGCATGGACAGCAATGAAATTATAACACTACCGTAGTCTTTGATCACCACAAAAGTAAGGGTTTAATATTTAACTAAATAAAGAGAAGCATATTCATTAGATATTCTGTAAGCAAAAAAATCATAGCTATAAAAAGAAAAACATGTTCTATGTTTTTTGAAGATATTGTTTTACTGTATTTGTAGTATCATATGCCATTAATATTTGCCAAAAAAAAGCAATATTAACATTTAACTTGACATATATGCAGTAGATGCTGTCCCATTAGTATATTTTAGAAATCCAAATTCAATGTTATAAAACCATATAGCAGCACACAAACATTTAGTATGTACCATGAGGCAGGATTTATTTTATTTCCTATTATCTCCTTGAGCTTTTCTTCTAAAAATCGAAGTGGATCTGCTGGGCGCATCGCAATTACACCACAAAGCAGCATCTGCAAAAAGAAACAGTAAATGAATGCTTTTCTGTCAACAGCAAAGTGGCACCTAGATAACAAACTGTTAAAATAAACACAAGTTTACCAGCATCTTTTAAAATATTATTAAATAGAGGTATTTTTTTAAAATAACTTTTAATGACTTCTCGCTTTCACTCGATTTTTAAAGGTAATATTGCACGTATCAGTGTATTTCAACTGCTAGACTTCAAAGCACTGGGTTTGGGATAGTACTAAAATACCTATTATTTTATTAACAATTTCCACAAATAATTTTATTGCTTTTAATGTGCATTAAAGGAAGAATATATAGAAGATTGGATAATATTATTTACTTAATGAAAACCAGAATTTAAAACAAGATTAATCCTGTGTAGTAAAGCATATGTGGAATGGGAAATATGACCCAGACATACTGATCTTGTAACCAGTATTGGAAAAAACATGCAGTTTAAAAGAATACTTGCTTTTCAAGATTGTGTTACCATACTACTTAATGCTATCTTTTAGTAATAATGCACAATAACCAATGCACCATTTTTCTCATTTTTCCTTTAGCTTCTTCAGCTAAAGGACAAATAATCTAATTCTGGATTGAGCCAACATAATGCAAGAACTTCCAAAATATACTGATTTCTTTAAGTCTATGTGCCAACTGCAGTTATTAAAGTGAATATGTAATGGAAACTATAAACTAGTAGCATTTGTGCCCAGTAAAAATTTCAAAACATAACCGTGTATCTTTTAACTAGACATTACATTGATGCAAAAGATGCTGTCCTGGAAGACAATGTCTTGTTCATATTTCCCTCTGCCTGTTATGAAGAAGCCAGCTTTTATTAGCTATCACTAAAACATCTGAGTTTTGAGATTTTCTTCCAGCTCTGACACTTTGTGTCTGCCCACTTTTCACTACCACCAGTCTTCACAGTGCAGCTGGATGGGACACCTCTACATTTTGCCATGCAGAGTCTGCTCTGGCCTGATCTACTGAAAGATAAACATGCCCACAGCAGGGTGGTTGGAGTAGATGATCTCTGAAGGTTCCTTCCACATTGTTCTATGATTCTAAAAACAATATAAAAAGGCAAAGAAAAATAGTTCTCTATGCACAGACACAAAAAAGGCCTTCAGTTTAGACACCTTGAATATTTATAACACTGATCAACACACCAATTCCAACCTCAGCATCTCTTCAATTGTCTTAACAAAAATTTATGTTTCCAAAGTACATCTTTGCAAAGTATACACAGGCACGTAAATGGCTTTAATCACAAATTTTCCTACAGATGTATCCCAAAGCCAGTCCCGACACTGGCCGGCTACTCCCTCTGCTGGATTAAGCCAGGACATGTCTGCCATACGAATGCCATGTTTTATTATTTCTAGTTTTGACTACCTTCTTTTTTTTTCCCCCTTCTTTAAACACAACCTTTTTTCCTTTGGATTCTCTGAAAGGTCTCCATCACAGGAAATTCAAATTATGCAACCACATACTGGAGTGCAAGGCCCCTGTTTAGCATTTGAGAATTCCCTTATAAAACTTGTTAAGGAAGGAATTGCAACACCTGGTCTTGCAATCTTAATTTGATCCTCTTTCACATACTTCAATGATGCTTGGGCCAGTTGTAAAGCTGAAAACACTTAAGCCAAATCTGTACCAATCCAGGTATTTCTACTAGACTTCTACAAGACTCTCAACAGTTTTGAGAGTTCATCTACAACTTTTCTCAGCCTACAAATGTTATTTATTCATATCATTAAATAACTAAAAGTATACTTATCCATCAAATTATCATTAGTCCTATATAATCCAAACCCGAGCTGGACAACTACCACACAAGTAGTAAAAACAAACAAACTCTGCTATAGTGCAACTAAGTTATCAGGCTAGAATTAAATATTTACATCAGGTTTGTTTTTTTTTTGTCAGCTGCTTCTATTCATCAATCTGAAAAAGCCTAGCTGTTGTTTAAAAGTTCACAACAGAAAAGTCCTCAAATTGTCCAGCATTCAGTTTAAAGCTCAATAATGGAAGAACTATTTTTAGCCTGCCCTCCTGTGTACATTTAGCAGCTATGAAAAATACATTAATACTTACATATATACTAAAAAATTAATACATATATACATAATCTTACTCCTTATTCACATGTGAGAGCTATTGAGAATCAGCATATTCATCACCTGGATAACATAAAATACTTGATACAGATATCCAACAAGTTTACAAACTCTTCAGCTATAAAATGTTTTGTCATTGAAATTACCTCAGTACACAGAGAAATAGTTTTGTTGATGGTAACAGACATTTACTAAACAGCAGCTTCCATTTATTTTCAACATCAGATAGACAGCATGACTGGATGATGACTATAAGGCATGCCTTAGAAAATATTCCCTAAGACGATGACAAAATATCCATGTCTTGCCTATAAAGTTTTCCAAAGCAAAAAATGTCAAGATCTGACATGGACAGTGGAGCTCAGTGCACCCTCAGTAAGTTTGCTGACAACACCAAGCTCTGTGGCGTGGCTGACACACTGGAGGGAAGGGAGGCCATCCAGAAGGACCTTGACAAGCTGGAGAGGCAGGGCTATGCCAACCATATGAAGTTCAACAAGGCCAAGGGCAAGGTTCTGCACCTAAGTCAGGGCAATCCCAAGAACAATTAGAGGCCAGGTGGAGAATGGATTGAGAACAGCCCTGAAGAAAGGACTTCGGAGTGTTGGTTGATGAGAAGCTCAACATAAGCCGGCAATGGGCACTTGCAGCCCAGAAAGCCACTGTGTCCTGGGCTGCACCAACAGAAGCATGGCCAGCAGGTCAAGGGAGGTGATTCTGCCCCTGGACTCTGCTTTTGTGAGACCCCATTTGGACTACTGTGTCCAATTCTGGAGCCCCCAACACAGGAAGGACATGAAGCTCTTCCAAGAGAGACCAGAAGAGGGCCATGAAGATGATCAACGGGCTGGAGCACCTCTCCTATCAAGATAGGCTGAGAGAGTTGTGGTTGTTCAGCCAGAAGAGAAAGCTCCGGGAAGGCCTTTCAGTACCTTGAGGGTGCCTACAGGAAAGCTCAAGAAGGACTTTTTACAGGGGCATGTAGCGATAGGATGAGGGGGAATGGCTTTAAACTGAAAGAGGGTAGATTTAGGTTAGATATTAGGATGAAATTCTTCACTGTGAGGGTGCTGAGACACTGGAACAGGTTGCCCAGCGAAGCGGTGGATGCCTCATCCCTGGAAGTGTTCAAGGCCAGGTTAGATGCAGCTCTGAGCAACCAGGTTTAGTGTTAGGTGTCCCTGCTCATGCAGGGGGTTGGAACTAGATAATCTCTACAGTCCATTCCAACCCAAACCAGTCTACGAGTCTATGATTCTATTGAAGTTCTATGCCTCAGAAGTTACACATGATCTAAACACAACATGTTCATTTGTACAAAAAATTCTTAACAGTGGTATATTTTCATAATTTTTTCTTACTCTTAGTACTAGACAAATCAATACAGCATCTACTCAACAGTAATTTATTAGAGATATAACAATAACAAGCTTTGAACTTAGTGATTGTCCCAAACCCCATAGGCAGTGATTGTCCCAAACCCCATAGGCTGTCCAAATTCACCAGATGCTCATGAGTGTAGTTTTATTAACAACTTCTGTTGTTTTCTTGCAAACCATTATAATGTGCAGTACTTTTCCAGAAGCAACTACCAAAATCGAGAAGCTGTATGCTTTCCTGTTGAATGTGAAAATCTAACTAAAAAGCTTCCACAAAAAATCTCTTCTCCTTTGAAGCCTGGATAAAAGCCCTTGACCATGGTTAGTTTTGATGTGTTGTGACTACTGCCTTTCCCTGCTCATCAATAATGGTCTTACTGTGTCTTTGTGTCTTTCATGCCCATTTGTGTTTCTTATGTCCTTTTGCTGACCTGTTATCAGCTCATAAGGCACTTGGGCAGGGGAACATCTCTTGATATATGTAGAGCACCTAACACAACATAATATCCTGAGTCATTATCTAGGCTTCTAAACATAACAATGATGATGATGGCTATGACAACAAATAGTATTTGTGATCCATGTTAAACAAACAAATAAATAAATAAATAGGTACATGTTAATTTTGGTTTTTTTTGTTTGCTTCTACAATTGCGTTATTTCCCAGCTTCATACTTCCAGTGCTGAAGATGTGCTGTTTGGTCTATATTCAAGTTACATTGCCATTTATGTATTTTACCTCTTCCACAACACCTTGCTCAAATGTCCATGCAGTGCTATAAATATTAAATGTTATTATTTAATATGTGCCTGCAATAAGACACTACAACCTAAAACCAGATTAATTTTGCAAAGACAGTAAAAGCCTGCCACCCCCAAGAGGAGTTCTAGCAAGGTAGACAGCAGCCCAAAGCAACAAATTAATGGTAATAACAAAACTAATGCAAAACTGTGACAAAAAAAAGGCCCAGAAAGTCTGTTCTGCTGCTGCTGTGAGGGGAAGAAGAGGAAAAGAGGAGGGTGTGTGAAACTCAAAATGAGGCCATGAGCTTCAGCCTTCCACTAACCCAGTGTAGAAAACTTGGCTTCTCTCAAAGGCTTCTCTCTTTCAGCCATAACCCCATTCCTCTTCCTACCACTCTAGCCATTTACCCTTCATGGCAAAATTCTTTTGGGTCATACAGCAGAAAAATCTTGAACCAGGTCTGCATCCGTATATAACAGTAACATCCTAAGAATACAGCAACTACCAACAGTGAGTCATCATAAGCATGGTGTTTGCAGGATTACAGTTTGGATACAGACTTTTTATGGATACTGTTTAAAATCAAATCTGGATGAGAACTGAAATCAGACAGGAACCAAAGACTCAGACGCAGCAGGGAATCCGAAATTATTTGGGCATGATTATTTGGACTCCAACTGTGTTTGGACCACATCCAAACCGCAGCCTCATGATAAAAAGACTTAGGCAAATGGCCATTT